TTTTTTTTTTTTTTTTTCTTATTAATACTTTTTATTGCTCATTACAGGTAGCTGCAGGAGTACTTTTCCAACAGAAAAACGAAGAACCATGGGAAATGAATACTCATCTTTAAAAAATGAAAAAATAAACATTGAATCAAAGTTAAAAAAGAAATCGGAGCTTACCGCTCAATCAACGGATCTTGCCATAGTAGGGGTTACGATAATGGCAATTACCATTTGTGTTGTTTCTATTGCATTATTCGCTACACTTTTTATTGCACTTTTAGTACAATGGTGTAATCGACGTAGTATAAGAAAATATGATTCAACATTGTGACAGTCTTGGAAGGAGTGTTTATTTACTGGTTTAAGCTGGTGGCACTCAAAATCTTGGTTACTTCGAAACTGTTATAAATTTAGTGTAAATGAAATTTTGTTATAATACGTTTTTGATGCTAAATCTATTAATATTATGTACATAAATAGGTTCACACAACATTATTTCATACAGTGTCATCTTTTTTTAATTTTTCATCCTGTTTTTTACTTGCTCTAAAACTTAACAGTATTTAATGTAGATGAATATTTAGTTTATTTAAAAAACATTAAATGCTTAAGAAGTTGCACATCTAATTTATTTATCCCACCATCTTAATTCTAAATGTGAAAATAGTATATTTTACAATAATTATTTTGCTATTTGTTATGTAAGCAATATGCTCCTTTGTATACTAAAGTATGAGATACTGATGGCCCTAGCCTATTAAGAACTTGAGGCTCCTATTTCTTTTAACTTGATATATCTCCTTAAGGGCAGCGTTCAGGGTTTTTTTTCTAAACATGCGCGTCAGAAATTATCTCTTCTACGTTAAAATAATGTAATAATAATAATATTATATGTTACACAATATTTACGTGTTATTGTAATGAACTTGCAGAAAAAATTCGTTCAATAGTTAAAAATGCTTATGAGTTTGTAATATACACAAGATTATTTTCCACTGTAAGCACACTTATTTATTTCGGAGCAAAACATTGTATAGCGTTAAACAAGAATACATGAATTGTGTAACGTGATTCTCATTCGGACCAAGTAAACGCAAAAGCACCTACATGGTTGAGAACCGTTGATGAGAGAGCACGCAGCTCACCTAATTTCAAAAAGGTTTAAGAATTATTTTCCTAAATTAGAGTACAGAGACGATGGAAGCAGTGCTTTGAAATTTTTTCATTACTTTGAATAATAATGTTTAAAATCCTTATTTAACGGCATTTTTTTAGTGCATTATATTTGCTTTGCATTAACCAACTGATACAGACGAAACCCTTAATCGTCCATAAAAATAGTAATAATCATCGATAATATATCGTCAAGCTACCNGTATATTCGAAGTAAATTAAAAAAAAAAAAAAATGTCCTAGCATGCACGGGAGCCGAGATAATTTTTTGTTGTTGAAAAATTCGTGTGGACGTATTATACGTCGTACAGTGGTAAGGTTTGGAGGGATTTAAGTTCAATACTTGTACTTTCAATAAAAAAATATATTATACCTGCAGCGCATCAAATAGTATAAAATAACAATTGTTGAAGTTGACCGTGCGAGAGCCGAGCGCGCCGGCCGACGTGTGCTGCAGAGGTGGGGAAGCGACTGCGGCGGCGGCGGCTCTCCGAGCGCAGCTCGGTGACAAGAGAGCAAGTGGTTTCAAATCATTCATTCTCGTTAAAATATCATTTTCTTAGCTTTCTCTGCACGTACAAAAATCCTATTGGAATCGATTTGAGGTAGCTTGACGATATATTATCGATGGTTATTACTATTTGTATAGTACAAAAAATCTATATACAGCAGACGAGAAATAAACATTACGCATGACTTTGATTATTAAACATCAATTTTTCATTTTCTTACTTGTTAGTAATCTCTTGCTGTGAAATATAAAATAACTTTCATAAGTCTTCAGAAATAGTGATAAAATACGCGAATCAAACTATTTTTTTAAGCTGACTATTTCATCTTACGCCCTTAACAAAAATTATAAGCGTTTTGGAAACAATTGAATTATTTTAGAGAGGAACTTACCTTAAAATATTTTTGTCATTAAAAAGTATCGAAAGTAGAACACTAAAATAAATAAAATTCTTACTACTATAGTCAATATTTAAAACACAAACAATAAGTGAAAATCTTCGTGAAAATGACGTCAAATTATCAAAATTACTTTATAAAATAGGAAATGTAGATGAAAAGTTTTTTGTTATCCAAAAAAAATGGTTGACATTTGATGTATATTTTAAAATATTTCGTAAAGAGTCATATTCCAATTTTAATAGTGTAATTTTGAAAACTGTAATAAATGTATAGATTTATCAAATAATAAAACTTTCAATTTTATTACGAGCATGATAATTTGTTGTTATACTGTAGATAAAGCAAGATAGGAAAATGTTAAAAAATGTGATGATAACATTTATATAAATTTTGTAACAAAAGTGATAAACAATATTTGTAATTGCTTTTTATCTCTTAAATTAGATTTTAGTTTAAAAGTTTGTCAGGTAATTTAAATCCAAAACTAAAACATTTCCAAAAAAATTTTAAAAGGCTTAAGTCACAATCTGTTGATAGGAGTGGCACGAGAACTGCGTACGGGGGTGGATCCTCACTAACATACGTCTACCTTTATTATGTTATTTGTGAGGGCCATTCAACATACCCCCGTAACCTCTGACCGTCTTCACATCTTTCTACACCGTTTTTGTGGAATATTGCTGACACTATACAAACTTTTACAGATTCTGGCACATACCCACACGCACATACGTATTCACTACATGCAGTATTCTAAAACAGCGCCACCTGCATGGGAAGAAGGAGGTGATGCTGGATAACACGGTTACATACCCTGTTATGGGCTGCAAACTTTGTTAAGTGTTTTTGGTATTTTTGATGCATTTTTGATACTTGAAGTATCGGTTTTCAGTGTCAACAATTTATTTTAAACATATAACAACTATCACCTTATAGTTGAAAAAAATTAACAAAAAATAATGTATTAAAACATTTTTATCTGCTCAATACAAATTCTTAACACTATAAATCCAGACTTTGAGTACCAAAACGAAGAAGGCTTGTTGTTATCAGTTAACTTACAGAACCAGTCAAGTGGTTAGATTAATATTTACTATGCTGTTGGATGTATATATAATTATGAAAAAGTTTTGTAATTATATACATTTTAAGTAGAATATTATAAAATTGAAATAGTTATTATACTATCACAGAACAAATACCAGAATATAGAAATTATACAAAAATGGGAGATGTATGAAAAAAAAATTTCTCATTATTGCACATATACTGAGCAAGATCTGTGTCATATTGCAGAAATACAATTCAATTACTGAAAAACAAAAATTTTTCGTCCCCTCCTAACTTAAGATAAAGCTGTTTACAAACCATATTTGACGTCTCTATGGTATCGATCGATAGAGAGCGTTTTGGGTTCCTCAGCGTTTAATTTAATTTCTTACAATAAATATTTTTGTAGGAAAAAAGCATCAAAGGAATCTGGAAAAATAATTAGTATATGAGTGAAAGAGTTAAAAGGCTAAGACGTCCTAATTATGATTCTTTCATAAGTACGATAATTTTTTGCGTAGTTTTTGATTTCAGACATTATTTATGGGGACGATGGATGATAAAGATTATTTTACAAGGTATTTTTTTTTTAATTAAAAAAACGTGCTCTTCCACAGATAAATTCAGCTATTAAGTATTGGTTAATGGGGTATGAGCACTGTTTTAATTACAATTCAAATTTAAAAAAAAAAAAAAAGCTCAAACTAAAATCGTAGCGCTTAAAAAGTTGGATTTCGTGAGCATGTATGCAATTCCATCTAGTTTGATTTAAATAAAGCAAAAATTTGTTTTTAATATGATATGTGGGCAAAGTAATGAAATTTTTTCATTGATTATCCTGAAAGTTCGGGAAATTATCTCTTTAAGAAACGTAAGTTAACCATCATATTCCTTGAGCTGAAAAAATAGAATAAATAGCTTGGACTGGTATCGCACTGACTTACTAAAGGCAAAATGACAAATCATAAAAACCTTTTATAAAACTTCAGATTTCAACAATGTTTGATACGTTTTTTAATTTGCATGAAGAAGAAAGTTAAGAGACGTAGATTTAATGATTTAGGATAGAGCTTTTATAGTTTTAAGTAAGCTTTAGAAGTGAGATATTTGTTAACAAATTTTCAGTAGAACTATTAATTGTTAATCAATAAGCTTGATATTTACTTCTCACTACAAATACACTTTATTTTTAATAATGAAATTTTGAACTCTTTAAAATGAAATGTAAGGAATTTTTATAGCACAGTGCGTAACTTCGTTCTTTTGGGTGGCAGGAAAGGGTTCTTGGATCGCTCAGCAAGACACATGTCTTATTTGTTACGAAAAAGTGAATATATGGCTAAGACTGGGAGTATTAGGTGCATAAAAGAAATACGAAATAATAATGAACCAATTTAAAACATATTTAAACTTGCCATACTGTACATAAGAATAAAAAAAATGCAACTTGATATACTATCAAAGCTCTTAGCTTACATTAAAAAAAAAATAAAAAAATGTAAGTGTCATTATTTGTTTTAAAAAAACATTTAAATAATGGCCAATGACGTAGTATTAAATGTTAACGGGATTTCTTTCTGAATAGACCAGTTGGCGGAGATTTTTGCCTGTATTTTCCGGGTGGTAGCAATGTTTCGATTAATTCTTATGTATTTTTTACCGTCAAATACAATTATCGTTACCCGTACTTTGTAAAAGTTGTGCTTCATTTTTTAATTTAACAATTTGTGAAAAAAAAATGTTTTTTTTACATTTTCCTTTATATCTCCTTTCCTGTGCATTTTTAGCATTATGCATTTACATAGTTCTTTGTTTTTTACTTAATTATCTACAAAATGAGATCTGGTGCAATATCCCAAATGCCATTGTTAACCTGCAAATTGCGTTGTAAGTTGAAAAAGTGCGTTTTTTCAAACATTCAATATCTCAACAATTAAAATACCTAGGAGCTTAAAATTCTAAGAAAATGTTGCTATTACTAATATTAATAACTGCACCAAATTCCGAAACGATCGCTTTTTAACTTTTAGAGTTATTAACGATCAAAATTTTTTTCGAAGCTTAATTGCATAATGCGCCAAAGTTGCTGTAAACGTCTAATTTTGATCCAACTGGTCTCAAAAATTCAAAAAACTATTCAAATTTAATATGCCATTTGAATTTTTAAAAAAAGTTTATTAGAACCTATTTTATAGCGATTTGTTTAACACTAGTAGTTTTAAACACACGTATAAAACTATATAACTTTTGCAAAAATCAATATTGATGATTCTCGTTTGCACAACTTTGAAGCTGGTATTTTTTTATAAATTAAAAAAAAAAAAAGTTGTCCTAGCATGCACGGTAGCCAAGATAATTTTTTTTTTTTGAAAAATTCGTGTGGACGTATTAT